ACTTCATCATCGGCGATTCGACGTGCTGCTGTCTTTCCAGAGTAGAAGTTGATTAGATGGTCAGCGAGGGCTTTAGCGTTCATAGTGACTAGCTGTGGCGAGCTATCTCAGTGACCTTGTATGGTTCTTCCATATGACTGTCCAGTACACTGAACAGCTTGCTCTGCAGAGACAGAGACGGAGATAGAGAGAGAGAGAGAGAGATATTAGACTCCATAGCAACAAACACAGAGATACGTAACGGAGAGCACACACACGCACACACGAACACATACAATATAGAATATACCAACTGGGTGTCACTAACTGCTTGCGTGGCGGCGTGTTTGAACAGCAAACTCCAAAATCAATGTCATTTCCACAGGAAGACTACTGGTGTCTCTATGACTGCTCCAGTGCGTGCTATATGCTACAAGTTCAAATATCATGCTACATACTATTCACGGCTTGATTGTTTTGTTAAAATCTTTTTCTACGAGTACTGTAATTTCAGCGTTTTCCTCATAAATTCTTTTCATACGTCAAGTTTCAATACCTTCACAAACACTGACAAGCATCATACAAATGGGAGCTGCCTCTCTGTACGTACCTAGAACTTTCTATTTTAGATCACAGCATTATTTTAAATTTTGTGCAATAGACCGATCCCCTTATTATTGTCTGGGTTCGAGCAAGGGGGCAACTCCGCAGTCGCGTGGGATCCTGCTGCACACACGCGACCAACCTCACCGCGACTGTGCGTGACTTCTCGCATGCGAAGAGCAGAGCACACGAGATCTACATGCAGTGCAAGTCCGTCTACAAAAAATGCCACAAGGACTTTTGATTTGAGCTGTTTTGTTTTTGTTTAGACGTCTTCCTTTTTACGACTTCAGGATGCCTTCTCAGAACATTGCTGCGTTCCTCACTGTCAGAACAGGAGGACGAAGCAAACAAGTCATTTCACTCCTTTCCTCGTGTGGAGCCACAGCGGCCTGGAGCAAGCGGATCCAGGCTATTCCCCGTGAGGAAGGACGTAGTTTTAGGGTCACTCTGAATATTTGAGTTGCAGCGATCATTTCGATCCCGAAATCGAAATCGTTTTGCCCAGCTCTACAAGGACAGGATGAGTCCAGGAAACCAAACAGCTGTCCTACGGTACCAGGTTTGCTTTTCGCAAGAGAGTGGAGTCTGGACGCCCTGCTCCCCATGATCGCAAAACAGTATTTGCTGAACCTAGTGCAGTTCGGTCATGGAAGTGCAACGTCTGCATCACGAGCTCCCCATGCTCGCAAACCAGTATTTTGCTGAGAGGCAACGGCACTTTGAGTTGGAAAGGAACCTGGCTTAGTGCAGTTTGGTCCTGTAATGGAAGTGCAGCATCTGCATCAGGAGTTGGCAGCAAGTAGAGCTCGTGTACAGAGTCTCGTGGAGCAGTTGGACGATGTGAGGACTGGGGTGAAGAAAGCCGAAAAACAGCTTACGTACAATAACATAAAGAAAGACTCTGAGCTGCTCCAGTTTCTGACTGGTTTGCCTTCAGGTGTTTGGACCGCTCTGTGGGACTTCTTTGAGCCTAGCCGAGAAAATGTAATGCGCCGCGCCAGATCTGCGAAGACGGAAGCTGAGGGACGGCGGATACAGTTGGAGGTGGCCGTAAATCGCCAATGAGCATGTAATGGAGGATCAGCTGCTATTGACATTGATGTGTCTAAGCCTGGGCCGAATGGAACAGAAGCTGGCATGCGTGGCACAAGTTAACCATCCGTTTCACGGTATATAGCTAGCTGAGCTGGAAAGATGTCTTGTTCCTCCGTTTGGGCATGATCCCCATCTGGGTGAGCTGGCGAGATGTTCAGTCATCAATGCCATGTACCGCAAGACATTCTGCAATGGGGATGAAACAGTTCTATTTTTCCATGCACTTAGGGTTCTGGCACCGGCACAGCACAACAAGACCCAACAGATCCTTGCGCTCTTATTTTCTCCCATGGTAACATTGCCGGTCACAACACCCGGTAGCCAGTCGCAGATGCAACCAAATCAACCAGGTTCTTTTTTTCCAATACTGAAACCAAAGGTATACCAATATTTGCATCGAATGCAGTGATGATTTCAATACTGTTCACTAGTACAACGCATTACCAGACTGGCATATAATCATGATAATAATCCATTTCGCAATCACTGTCATTGCTTTCTTAGATCTCCAATCATCAATATCGGACCATAAACCGTCTACTAGTATCATCTTATATTATTTCATCATTAGTATCCTGCTACTATCCTCCTCTAACGATGAGCTTGAAGAAACGAAACAGCTGTCTAGAGGCGTAAATAATATCTGTCAACGGAAGTGTCCTTGCTATGCTGGTGTGTTTATGCTTCGTGCATTAGTTCGGCCAAGAGCGCATGGTGGTGGCGGGTTGAGGATGTAGTACAGCGGAGTATGACCGAAAGCTCTGTCACGATGTATTTTATTAGGAAGGTATAGAAACGGAAAAAAACTGTATCTTCATCTTGGGCGTAAACAGCCCGTCTCACATTAAATACACTAGAAAATAGTTCACTCTGAACAAGCAGTCTTCCTAAGAGATAGAGGGGGGTATATTCATAGGTTCGAAAGAACCGCACACACACTTTGCTGCAGACAGGGGCAAGCTTTGGCCCTCGTGCTTCGAAGAGGGAGCAATCCACTGCGCTACGCTTGCGATTAACAGCAAGCTTCAAACTTTTCAAAGGTACGACTCATCACTGGCTCTGGGGTAATGTTCCTGGAACAAATGCCCCATTGCCGACTGAGGGCCAGGGAGCACGCAATCTGCCTTCCTGGGCGAGAAGGGTTCCAGCACAAGAAGCAGCACGAATACATGCTGACAAAGACAACCATCACCACCAGCCGGCACACAGCACACTGTTCTTCAAACACCATCCACTCCGTCCATGTGTTTGCACTGTCCTCCTCTAGCTCTTCACGCTCAACAAATACCACGCACTGCTCATCGTTTTTTTTGCTTCCTCTGGGTTGGCTAGCCCTTCGACTTGACAAAACAGCGATCACCACTGCACTGCTATCGTCACCTCATAGCAGTCGCTTCCACCAGTGGCTTTTCCTGTCTTTGCAAGGTGTCCAAGGATGGCTGCTGTTGTCACTACAGGCAAATCAGAAGTACTTTAGTGGCTGATGTCCAACCAGATCGTTGGAAAATCGATTTTTCCACTTCAGGGCTGCTGATCGCGATCGCGACTTGGCAGCACCACGGTTACCTTCATAGAAGATGGCTCTGGAGAGGAAAAGGCAGACCAGAAAAAGGTTACTATTGTCTTCAGCACCGATCTCAAGGAGAAAGAAATACGGTCTGCTAAAGCCTAGGCACAAAATACATCTCAAAACACGATTCACGATTCGAATATTTCAACAACAACAAAACTCACCTCTGGAGTAACTCCTGTTTGTGGCCCGAGATCGTTCCCTCCCGCGCCTTGAAAAAATCCTACAGCTGCATCACAGTCCATGTCTCTCTCGGAGACTCTGCTCCTACCAGCAGGAGGTTCAGCACCGCTCGAAGCCATCGCAAACTACTTGAACTAAGCAGAAGACATTCCAAAACAAACCTGAAACACACTGTCAAAGATGCTGTCACGTTCAAAAACTAGCTCGATCGCGAGTGAGGTTGCCCCCGTGCTCGAACCCAGTATAATAAGGGGATCGGTCTATTGTCTGCTCCTCCACTACATGTCTACATGTACCAGTTTTGTTCATGCTCTTACCGTGGTCACAGTGCACGCTACGCTGGGGTAGTTTGTACGAGTAAGATCAAAACACCGCTAGCTAACGAACGTCAACCGATTAGCAAAAAACGACTCTCCTCTATGTAACTATCAGGGTCGACTCCATACAAGTAATCTGCAAATACCAGAAATACCTAATGGCCAACACCAGGCTATGCACTGCTCCAGTGAGTGTTACTGAATGAACTAGTAGTAGTACTACAAAGTCATGTAGTAGTCTTGCCTCTTGCTGTCTAGGTACTCGTACATCTACGATCGAGTACAATGACTATGTAGTATGTAGTCCGCCAATTATTTTCAAACGCAAAATTAATATTTAAAAAAATTAATAATGTTTCAATTATTTTTGAAGTCAACATTATGTTCCCACCGAACAATAGGGCTTGAAAGTGATGACGTCAAAACGGCCAGGGAGTAGTAAGTTGACATCAGATTTCTACTTTTGGATCCACTAAGGTGTGACTTTGCAATTGCCAAAGTATGTGGGTGCATAGCAACCCACTCATGTCGCATGCAGGTGTGACTTTTATTTCGCCACCAGTTGTAACCCCGCCCCCAGTAGCCAAATCGGTCAGTTTCACTGGCTACATCACCATGCTGTGGGTAAGACCGCTTGAAATGTGCTTGGATCCATACAAAAACTGGATCCGAGTGGATCCAGTTTTTGAATTTTTGAAATTGTTGCTATGCTGTGACGTAGCACTTTCATAAGGGTAAATAAGGGCTTGAAAGTGCTACGTCACAGCATAGCAACAATTTCAAAAATTCAAAAATTGGATCCACTTGGATCCAGTTTTTGTATGGATCCAAGCACATTTCAAGCCGTCTTACTCTCAGCAAGGTGATGTAACCAGTGAAACTGACTGATTTGGCTACTGGGGGCGGGGTTACAACTGGTGGCGAAGTAAAAGTCACCCCGGCATACGACATGAGTGGGTTGCTATGCACCCACATACTGAGGCAATAGCAAAGTCACACCTTAGTGGATCCAAAATAGAAATCTGATGTCAACTTAGTACTCCCTGGCCGTTTTTGACGTCATCACTTTCAAGCCCTATACATGAGACTTGAGAGATCCTGGGATCGGGAGTCTACCATGCATGGTCTACCCATGCGTGACCATGGTGACGAAGAAGCGTAGGGCGCGCCAAGGGCAAGGTTCCTGCGGCGCTCAGATTGGTTATTCGAACAACGACGAGCATAAACACAAAATGTTCCGTACTACATTGGAAAGGCTTTCTGTCTAAAGCCTTTCCATACTGGTGCTCGATGTTTTCAGTTTGGGGACACCAAAATTAGTGTACCGCTAAAGACACGTGGTCGACACGTTGTTGACACGTTGTTGACACTTTGTTGACACGTGACCCAATTACCGGCCTACCAAGTGCCTTTGGCGACCGCTAACAGCAACTGTGGAACAGTGCAGTGCCCTTTTTTGGAGCAACGTACGAGTAGTGCCCGTGGATTATGACCCCGCGACCCCAATCTACGTGGCGGTCCGCAATTCGCTACTTCATACTGACTGGCGTCCGGCATCGTCCCGAATTTGGCCACAATCTGCTCTCGGGACCCCTATAGGGCTCTCTGACCTGCTCCATCTCCGCCATCGTCAATGTACTGCGCATCCACCCAGGCCAGGACTGCACTTACTTACGGGAAGGAGTATTTGCGAGATGGAACCTGGGAACTGGAAGACGACGAAGAGGAAGCGTGGGAATCCGGCGGCAATGGCTGGGATGTAAGTCCAACATTGCTGGTTCCAGAGTTGCCACTGCTTGCTTATAAGGGAATCATGTGTGTTGCCTTTTTGCCTTTTCCGCTAACAGCAACTGTGGAACAGTGCAGTGCCCTTTTTTGGAGCAACGTACGAGTAGTGCCCGTGGATTATGACCCCGCGACCCCAATCTACGTGGCGGTCCGCAATTCGCTACTTCATACTGACTGGCGTCCGGCATCGTCCCGAATTTGGCCACAATCTGCTCTCGGGACCCCTATAGGGCTCTCTGACCTGCTCCATCTCCGCCATCGTCAATGTACTGCGCATCCACCCAGGCCAGGACTGCACTTACTTACGGGAAGGAGTATTTGCGAGATGGAACCTGGGAACTGGAAGACGACGAAGAGGAAGCGTGGGAATCCGGCGGCAATGGCTGGGATGTAAGTCCAACATTGCTGGTTCCAGAGTTGCCACTGCTTGCTTATAAGGGAATCATGTGTGTTGCCTTTTTGCCTTTTCCGACGTCCTCCTCCGACTGTACTCCCGATCCCAGGACTGAACTTACGGTAAGGAGTGCTTCCAAGATGGGAGACGAAGAAGAAGAAGCCGCTGAATCCGGCGGCAATGGCTGGGATGTAAGTCCAACATTGCTGGTGCTAGAGTTGCCACTGCTTGTTTATAAGGGATTCATGTGTGTTGCCCTTTTTTGCCTTCTCCCATGTTCTCCTCCGACTGTACTGGTGAACGCTGTCACATATGTTGCCCTTTCCAGGCAGTAGAAGGGGGGGGGGGGGCGGCGGCGGGGGCAGCACATCCTGGCATCCAGGAATGCTAGGCCCTAGGAACTAGGCAATCTGACCTTTCCTCTTACTCCAATAATGGTATGGATGGGGAGTTCTTGAACATCCTCAGTCTTGTTAGAGTGAACTGTGCAACTCGGCAATCGGTGATAGCAGAGGACCAATGCCGATGGCGATGCTCCTTCCTTTTTCTCTGTCACAGGCTGCGTTCTCGAGAGGAAGCGTTATTTCTGCATTCCAAGAAGGACGGCACAATGGTGAGTGGAACTTCGTGGGTGTGCAGCCTTGCTAGTTGAATTGTAAATCAACCATTCTTCCTGTCTCTCACTTCTTCAATGTCCTCCTCAGTGTCGGACTGTCCGCGTCGCATTGAACTGGTCCGATGAGGCTGCTATTGCACACACAGTGAGGGAACTCCCATACGGGAACTCGGAAGTACTGCTACAGTACAGGTAAGGTGGCCATTGCTTATGTGCGTGCGCCGTTGTTGTCAACTTCTAAGCCAGCTGTACTCCAACCTACATGGAGTTTGAAAGTAGTCAGCTGGCGAACTACAATTGAAGTTTAGACGTTATATGCCGCGGCTTGGTCAGCTTTTTCAGTTTCACAATGCATTGCACTCAGCACCGCTTCTCGGAATATCTTGTCAGGATAGCTGTGGAACGCATCCTCCCCAGTGGGGGAACGGCAAATGTGCTGTTCATTTTTTAGGCTTGCTTTTATGGTACGTACAAATCCCCATTGAAAAGACATAGTGGAGACCAGAAACTGCAAATAGATGTTGGGAACCGCGAAGACCACCCTTCCTTGTCAAGTTCCCTGAGGGTGTGGAGGGGGGGGGGGGGGGGAGCGGAGGAGGGACATTCCTGCACTGCTTAAAGCAGGATTCACAGGAGCATTTTCAGAAATTGCTTGTACATTTGTACCAGTTGTAACCGACAAACGCATTCTCATTGAGCTTTGACTTGAGGCACGTCAGCAAGGCGCTGTTGCATCGCTGACGTCTTGTCCTGATTCTGTGAATGGTATTTTGTGCGAGTTCGCATCGCACGCAGAATCGCAGGTCGTGTCGCATTGCGCAGTACACTGCCAAATTGCTTCTGTGAATCCCACGTGAATGGGAATTCCAATGGGAATGTAATCCATTGCCAACAGGTGTATTCCCGAGCTGCGCATCATACTGCAAAATTGCTCCTGTGCATGCAAATGGATTTCATTGCTCTTCTTTAGTTTGGGAAATTCTCGATTATGATAATTCTGCGTGTGTGTGTACACCAGCCCTGAACATACATGTAGGTGACCCATTTGTGGTGTCTCATAGCCTACCTCACGACCTTATGCTTTCTTCCTGTATCACTTGTATCTTGCAGGTATATCACCCCGTGACGACCACATCGAAGTCTGAAATTGAAGTGTGAAGATGCTTCAGCAACCCCTTCATATTTTTCCATTGCTTTTATTGTGCTTCTACTGTGCATGTGTGTAACCTGTGGGGTATGCATGTGATGACAATGTATGCCGGTGACACGGTCAGATTTTGTCCATGCGTGTAACGTACACCTGCATGCTATCGTTGAAAAGGATCTGCCACTTACGATCTTCGGACGAGTATCAGGTCAGCTTGGTTTTGTGTGGGCTGTACCAGATGCTGTTCACTTCTCTATCTGTTGGATATGTGACTTTCTGCAAGTTTCTGGTGTGTGGTGGCCACTTCTTTGCTTGTCTTTGTATGACATTACAATAATTCTGTATTCACTGCTTCCATGGTGTGGTCTGCAAACTGCAATCCTTAGGCAAATATCATCACGGTTTGCAATGTTGTGCTTTGGCCGCTAGCTTACCTACACATTGTAGTTGAATTATTTTTGTTTCACAACTGACTTCCTGAAGTATGGTGGCCACTGCTTTGCATGGCATTATACAATCAAGAATTTCCTGTTTGGGTCGTGTGTGTTTGTATGTATGTGTGTGCGCGCCCATGTGTGTGTGTGTGCCATGTGCATGTGCGTGTTTGTCACAAGGTGTCTGTGTGCGGGGTAGCGAGGTGGGGAGGGCTGGAATGTATCAGTGTGCTACTGCAGTCGCATGGCTACATACAGTGCATCGCGCGCGTGCTCACCATGTTTATCTTCGGAGCTGGGCTAGGGTGGGGGAGGGAACAGAAAAAGAACTGAAATTACCCATATAAAAACCGCTCTGTGAGCGGTTCTGAAAAACCTCTACTGGTGCAGCCCCGTCGTAAAAGTAAGAAATTAGAACTGGCGCATTGTCCTCCCAAATGTGAACTGATCCACCTAAATCGCGATTGACGGGACCCGAACGCACCAGTAGCACGAGGTCGGGAGGGAACAGGATCACAGCCGGCGTCGGCGCTGATCAAGTTACCATACAACACTCATCTACCCCGAAGCCCACCTTTGCCGCTTTGGCTTTGGCTATGGACCAGCGTCCCCAGCTCAGCTGCATCCACAGGTAGGAACCTCGTGCTACTGGTGCGTTCGGGTCCCGTCAATCGCGATTTAGGTGGATCAGTTCACATTTGGGAGGACAATGCGCCAGTTCTAATTTCTTACTTTTACGACGGGGCTGCACCAGTAGAGGTTTTTCAGAACCGCTCACAGAGCGGTTTTTATATGGGTAATGTACATGTACTAGTACCACCTGTACTACCGGTAGTTTATCACATGGCACGTGATTGTTGCCCGTACTCCAGCGAATCAGCACCTTTCGCGCCGCGGGCAATAATATGCGATATTGCCCGCAAAAAAATAGTTTATTTGCCCGCAAAAAAATAGTTTATTCAGTGATCGCGTGACTACGCTCGTACGACGACTCTGTAGACCAGGTAGACTGTAGACCCAGGTGCTCGAAGTCCGTACACGTTTACAGTGTGTGTTTGCCGAGCTGAAACTCACACTAGCAATGATCACTTGCCAGAATCCTGCTCGTGGATGGAAGGTATCTTGTCCAAGTTTGTTTTGAGGCCAGGCTCGATTGAACCAGGCCATCTTTCGATCCGATCTGTTTCTCTGGAGTTCGCTCATTTTTCATATCAAAATTTGGTGTCGCAGAGGGTACTCTAAGTCCGTACTGATCAGAGGTGACTCGAAATACACACATATTTCTGCTAATTGCTAACTTGCAATCCCTCGGTTACGACGAAAGCACCGAAGGGATATGTTTGGCATGTGCCTCCACCGGTATTTCTTGCAAAAGCGTAGTTTGTTGCCGAAATGCAAGCTGTTTTTAGTCGGCTCAGAGAAGAAGCAGCTGCGCTGTGAAAACCGCGGGAAAACAGTGGTGGAGATGCCAGGAGTGTCAACCTTTCTGCAAGGATTGGTGGTTCTCTGTAAATTCTTCTCCTCTGGCCATTGTCAGCTCTAAGCTGGCTCTTGATGATTGAGTGAAGGTCTGTTTGACGCTGTGTCCGTTCGAAATCGGTCTTGGCAAAGTTGATTTTTGCATGAAATGTAACCCAATTTGTATTTCGTATGGACACTCGAAAACCCACTCCCGTGGTATGGGACTTCTGCTGATCGTAGATCCCTGAAAATTGGTACGCGAGGAGAACATACCACACTGTCCCCTCCATAAAATATTTGAGTCGAATACAATAACAGAACATGAAATTATGGGCGTACGAACTTAGGATACCATGTACGGACTTCGAGCACCTGGGTCTACGACTCTACGAGTCGCAGTGTAGCATTGTCATTGAGACGAAGATGGAATTCTTTTTGGAGATGGACATCCCGGCAATGGACATGGCCTCGGACGTCTGCCGTGTGGTGCTTGCAGGGATCATTTGTTCAGTCATGTTGGCAGCCTGACCATCGGTAAGCTTGTGGATAAGATTCAGTTCTGCTCGAAGTGGTACTGTGATCACAAACAATTATTTGAAATAACACAAATTCAACTCAGCGTCGTGCGTTTTCAAATCCTCGCAAAGTCAATGCCTGTGTGTGGTCTTCATGTGCCACGCAAAACTCTTACCAGGCTCATCTCACCTTTGCTTGAACAACAAACACAACAATTCAGGAATGTTTTGCAATGAAAAATACAGCTATCTGGAGTTGAAAAAAAAGAAGAAAAATTGTCCTCAGAATTACACACCAGGGAGTCGTCAAATACTTGCACTTGTTGCAGTACTGTATTTGACAACTTCCTGATACACATGTAAACATGAAGAAACTCTTTGTGGTAGCACTCTTAATTTTTCAATTGAAATTATGATTCTGCTGTATTTTATTGTCGTTGCCATGTCTATTGCTATGACGATGCGGTGCCGGCACTTTTTTCTGTCTCCGTCTTTCAGTACTGTATACTCTCTGATGGCCTGTAGAAGACTTTTTGTTAGGGTGTAGGAGAAATATCTTCATATTTCCTGTTTTGATAATGATAGCACATCAATATACATTGTGGTCATAATGTGTTGGCATTTGGGCTAGTTTCAACAGCAGCCCAATGGTCTGCTCTGTGGGCCATGTGATAAATTTGTTATCGCATGGTTGCTGCGGGCCTTATGGCATATTATTGCCCCTCGAGGTTAGCCCTTGGGCCTACGGCCCTCGGGCTAACCTCTCGGGGCAATAATATGCCATAAGGCCCTTGCAACCATGCGATAACATATACATACAGTAACAACATAACGACGTCAGTGCGAGTAGTGAGTCGAGTAGCGGCCTAGACTAGGAGAGGCAAGAGTACAACAGGCTGATGCCGTGCTGGGAGAGTTGAACACGCTAACGAGCGCAGTACGGATCCGACCTGGACTACAGACTACATACAGACTCACGTGAGTGCGTTCGATTTTGCCCACAAATCAATTAATTTGTTGAACCCATGAACGTGAATCCATTCATGAATCCATTCATGAATAGTATAATTCATGATTGGATAATTTATTACTAGTACCAAGAGTACATAACCAAGAGTGTGCAACTCTACGATTCCCCAGCCCACGGCGGAATTTTTTTATGACATCAGTCTTTCATGGTCTTTGGCGGCAGTTTAGCTCACTGATGCCATCATGCGTAGCCAGAGATCAAAGTGCAAATAATGTGTACATTACAGCTACGGTAGTCGAAGCAGAACAACGGACGAAAGATCGACGTGTCTTGAACCTGACGAACTCTCACCGTATTTACAAAACAAGCGCCGGAAAGAATACCCACTTCATCATACTTCTGCCAAAGGATGAGGCAATAAAAAAATTCCGCCGTGGGTGAACCCATCGCAGCTCAAGATAGGAGTTTCACACTCTTGGTTCTGTACTCTTGCTAGTACGGCCGTGGCTATTCTCATCACCCCCTGTGTGAATAGACGTTATTTGATTACATCATCAGTTGATGCTTCAACGAAAAGGCTGCGGACTCGCGGCACAGCGCTGCACTTGCTAGGGGTAAGCGGATTATTCGGGCATAATTTTTGGCATAATCAGGTCCTTTTTGAGAAGGAGCATACAATTGCATCCGAAAAAGAAGGGCCGATGCCCAATGAGACTGTTATACACATATAATAATAAATAATAATTGAAGGCGTAATTGCCTTTTTAGAAGGAGCATAAAACGGCATCGGAAAAACAAGGGCAGATGCCCAATGAGGCTGTCATATACATGTACACACCTGCTATTGAAGGACCATACATTGCGCTTTTTGTCGATTTGGAATACTTTAGCAACCACCGATGCCGACTACCTGACATCGCCGTGATTCTATTCCCCAGTCCACTCCATCACCAGGCAGTACATTTACATCTTCTGCAACACCACCGATGATGTCATCCAGCGCTTCCTCAGCTGAAACACCAGCTAGAGTGCCCAGACAAGGTTCAGCCTCAGATCAGACTACTTTGCCCAGAAACACGATGTCACCATCATCATCATCATCAGCAGCAGCAGCAGCAGAAATAGCTGAATCTCCAACAAAGCAGGTAAGACTAGGTGTGTGTGTGTGTGTGTGTGTGTGTCCCATATGGTGCAGTGGTATGTGCAGCGATTTCCAATCGATAGATTGCGGGTTCGATTCCCGACGATTATGGTCACACACGTCTTTCTTCTCTTTCTCAGACTCTTCCTGACTTTTCTTTCATTCTCCTGGGTGGTTACCAACAGCCAGTGCATGCCGGAGTATGTGGTGTGATGTGTGTGCGGGAAAAAAAAATGAAAAGACCAAAAATAGGGATTCACTGGCCAGAAAATGTCACTCCAAATAGCTGTATGGTGTAGACCAGGCTGAATAGTGACGGTCAATTCTTCAGCCTTGCAAGCTGTTGAATGGTGTAATCCCAGCACAAGTTGCTATGGCTTCTGCCGTAGCATTGCTATCATCGCCTCCGGCGATGGGCGTCAAAGGTCAAAGGTCAAAGGTGTGTGTGTGTGTGTGTGTGTGTGTTTGTGTGTGGTGCTGGTGTGTGTGTGTGTGTGTGTGTGTGTGTGTGTAACTAGGGTAACCCGGTAACTACCGGCATACCGGGGATTTCTGACTTTGATCGAAAAACTACTAGAATTGGCACTGAACCATGATTGTTCACAAAAACGCTGTTTTGTGGTGTGACAAGGGCACATGCGGCCCTGCTTTTC